CGCCCACCCCTCCCTCAATTCATCGCCATCGTCACCTCGTCCATCACTCCACGGATTCCTCCAAGCAGCCCTATCAGAAGCACACACCCTACTCACAGACACCATCCCCAATACCTTCAAGGTAGACCCGAAACAACGCTCCTCCCCGCCCGCCACAGCCAAGGTCCAGCTCCTCAAGCGCACCATCCGCAACGGCACCGGGAGTGTCCGAGGAGACGAATTCTGGGCATGCCGGAAGAGCGTCCACCAGGATGCCGCGGTGGACGGCTCGGCTTCGTGGGAGGAGTTTCGGAGGGGATTGAGGGAGGATCATTCCGAGAATGAGATGGCGTATACGCCCAGTGTGACTTCTGTGGAGAGGTTGTTGGAGTGGCCGACCGAGAGGGAGATTGAGGGGGGTTGGAGGCAGGTTGGAATGCATGGTGAGTTGAGATCTTGATATTGTGGGCCGAATTGCGTTGTGTGTATTCGTATATGACGCATACATGGAGTATGTGCTCCTTGTAGTTGCATCTATACGGTCGATACTTGCATCAACCCTGTCTCCAGCAGGTCATATCTTTTGCTTCGTTAATTTATTCTACATACACTCAAAACATCCACGTATATGCACCTCGCATTTAGAGATCAATCACTAACAAGCAGGCAGTGAACATCATCACCCACACTTTCCACCCGACAGCCCTGATAGCCCCCCGCATCTTCATCAGCCTGGTCATCTCTGCCGACTTACCAAGTCCCATCCCTCAGGGATTCATGACGGTCCAGATCCCTCTCACCGCGGAACCTACAGGTGCAATTCCCAACGAGATACGGGAGAAGGTCGCATCCACTGCGCCCAGAAACGCGGTTTTTGCATCCTATGCCAGCGTGGAACAGGTTTTGTGTGTCCGAACACCGGGACTGACCTCGGAGTCAGACGCGAGGAGCAGGACTGGTGATGCCAATCGGCTGGAGTGGACGATGGCGACGACATCGGATGCAGGCGGCGCGATTCCGCGGTGGATACAGCGAAGCTGGACGATGGGCGGAGTTTCCAAAGCAATCGTGGCCGACGTGGGGTATTTCATCAGATGGACGGGCCATCAGAGAAACAATATAATATCAGCTTGAACTGCGCATGAAATGATAAATAGTAGTGAACTGCCGTTGACCATGTCTAATATCGACGATTGATAATGCACTCCTGCTGCGCTACCTGTTTGGACTTCCTTGCAGTCATAACTGGGTACAAAGGACTTTCGGATGCTGAGATTCTCCAAGTACAGGAAGAAACCGCATACAAATACAGAATTCAATCGAACCGTATTCCAGAAGAAAAGAAGTACCAATATGGCCCAACGAATGGATTCACCAACCGAATGCATATGGACGCATGTTGCCAGCATGAGCTTCCAGATCACGGAGACCAGAAGGACGAATTTTGAACTCCGTACTCCCTGCGCCGTCGAACCCGGAAAGACAACGCGGAAGAAACTATGTTATAAAACAAGAGATCGCAAAGCACAGTCAAAGCGGGGACAAAACAATCATAACCCCAGTGTTATGCAACTGTCGACATGGAGAACACCGTGACTTCAAATGGTGGAATGAATATTAGAGGTTAAGAGATCAAGGACGAGACGTAGGCGAGATAGTGGAATCAGAAGCACGAATGAAAGGGAAGAAAAGGGAGGGGTTTGGGGGATCAGATTCACCAGCCTTACTTGGCAGCAAATTTCGTATAGATTTGGGATGATCTGTCGTCAAAGGCATCTGAACTCTGAGCAACGGAACAGAGGTAGTGGTCGAACCTTTGTGGTAAGAGGGGAGAGGATAATTAGACATAACAAGGGAAATCATATGAAAGTTGTGAGGGCCAATAAGAGATGAGTACATGTCGGTCATCGCTGTCCAGTGCCACCGGAACTGTTCTCGGGCTGAGCCGATACAGCGCTTGTATTCGAAGGCGCTAGGTTGCTGACGTTTGACGAAGCAAGTTGGGTTCGTAAAGAGGCCACTTCGCTTTTCAATCCTGCTAATTCTTCGTGGACTGATCGGATGTAGGCCCAAAGCTTGTCCTCCCGATCTCTGCTTTGTTCTACAAAGCTGGGATCATGAGGTCCGGGAAGATGAGTGCCATTGCCTGCCGTGGCGTCCAGGCCAGCCGTCGAAGACAGGGATCCACCGTGATTGCTAGAGTGACTGAGTGAAGAACCATGTTTTGTAGCGGCCGAGGGTGGCGGCTGCACAGATCCTGGATTGTGAAGGGAGAAACGCGTATCCGAGGGACCCATGCCGGGTGGAGGAGGTAGCTGAGGCGCGCCGGGTTGAGGTGGAGGAAGTCCCAAACCAGGAGCGGCGTGATTCGTAACGGGTCCCTGGGAGGGTCCGGGTCGGCTGAAGGGTTGCTGCTGGAATGACTGCGACATACCGGGAGAGTGTGAGCGGTGCAACTGGATACTATTGCCCTCCGGACCATGTCCGAGCTGGTGGGAGGCAAGAGCGTTTGGTGAAAGGGGCTTTGGGCTCTCTGTTACGTTCGTAGACTGAAAGACCGACGCACCCGAAGGCTGCCCTGGCGGTGGGAATGTCATATTCCCGGATTGAGAAACGGGAGACGTCGACGCACTAGACCCACCGTGGCTTGTGGGAGGAGGGAACAATCCGCCCGGGGAAGGTCTGCCGGCAGCTATTGGAGGGTATGTACTTGGTTGACGCGGCTGGTAGCTGCTGGCAGAGTGAGAGCGTGGAATAGAGTCGGAGGGCGCATCGTGCCTTTTGATGCTGGGCATGTTGAGCCGGCGTTCATCCTCCTCATCCATTCGCTCCGGTTCGGCATAGACGAGACCGTCCATGGTATCTTCGGCACCGGGGGGAACTGCGCCCTCGCCATAATCATCCTCTGGCGCATAACTTCCCATACTCGCTCTGCGACCGGCGCAGCCGCCCTGGCCTTTATTGTGGCGAGCAAGAGCATCACCGCGCGCGAACCGACGTCCACACTTCGGACAAATATGCGGACGCTCGCCGGTATGAAGCTTCGTATGTCTCTTGAGATCATGGAGTCTCCGGAAGCGTGACTGACAGGTCTGGCATACGTACGGCTTCTCCTGGCTGTGGGTGAGAAGATGGCTCTTGAGGTTATGGTGTCGAGTGAACTCGGTGGCACAGTAAGGACACCGGTGCTTTTTGGCCGACGGTGATCGCTGGCCGCTTTTTTGGAACCCAGAACTGGGAAGACTGAGACCCCGCCGGGGATCGCCGAGAGCCCCCGTAGGCATTGGATAAGAGAAAGCCTTATTGCTACTCTCCTGCAGATCGACCTCATCTCGATGGCGCGGTCGATCACCGTCCTGAGAGGTAGAATCCTCTATGGGACCCGGACTAGCCACAGTCGGGGCGGCCATTAGGGTCGAGCCGTTGTCGGTAGCACCAAAAGTATCGGGGACGTTGCCCGAGGAAGGGCCCGAATCGACTTGCATATGGTCCGACGACATGGGCATGGAGTCATGAATGGAACCGACATTTTGCTTTTCGCTAGCACCCAGAGCCTCTCTTGCTACCTGCGAACTGTTCTGCTCGGACGCCTTCTCCGATTCATGTGGTCGGTCCATGGGACCGTCTGTGGGTGCAGTGGTGGACATCTGGGGTAACGGTTCCCTCGACCTCGAGACGTGCAGTCCGGCACTGGCGATGGAGGTCAAGCTCGAATCTTGCTTTGATGGTTTGAGAAAGGCGATGGATTCTGGCGGGCTTGAGATGAGCGAGCTGGGCGTTCCGGACAAGGGATTGGAGATGGCAACCGGCTCGTTAGTCGATTGGGTCAATGCAGCCATGGATAACAGATGGTTCTTGCCAGCCGGAAACGGTTGACGAATGAACGGGAAAGCTACTTGTACGGAAGTCATGTCAGTGAATGGATATCTCCTGGGGTTTAAAGGCTACAGGCAGGAAGAAGGGATCTGTAGGTTGGCAGGCGAAGAGACGAAGGCTTCGACCAGCGGAAGATGATATCCCAAGGACAAACGTCGAGTAGCACAGAATGACGGGTAATATGATATTGATGAGAAGCACCATCGCGTGGGGCGCTCACCTGGAACAGAGTGTGGCGCAAGCTGACGGGGGGTGGAAGTTCAGCTTTCGCCAACGCCTTGTCGGACGATCTGGGACCCCACGATGAGAGAGTATGGGCCTGGTGGCAGGGTAAAAATAGTGACTGAGCCTTGCAAGCCGAAGGAGTGCCTCTGATGGATGCTGAGATCTGTATCAGAATTCGGCTAACCCATCGGGTGGGAAAGAGGTTTGAGATGTGTGGCGGGCGTGCAGGCGGAATGGAGAATGCTTATTTGGGCTGTAAATAAAGCTCGAAGCAACGACTGATTTGAAATACAATGGAAACGAATGTCGTGCAGATGGATTGATCCCGCGGAGAGGGCGGTTCAGATGTACAAACAGCAATATCGCATAAATTAACCACAGAAACACACAAGTGGAGGCAAGGGGGAAAAGAAAATCGGGGGTAAATGCTGTGCGCAGGATAAAAGCAGCGTACAGATGGAAGGGAAGAGAAAGATCTAATCAGAGGCCTTAGGTTGACAGAAGGGATAGACTAGATGAACAGTGACAATTCAGGATGGTTGCGAATTCCAAGATATTATTCCGTTCGTGGTTAGGTTGTTGCAGCCGTATGGTAGTAGATGGTTGAGGAGAAAGAAAGATGGAATGACTGATGGGAATTGAATGACTTGAAGAATGAATGGTTGATGGATAGATTGATTGATGGATTATTGATAGGTTGATAGGTTAGGTCGCTGGGTGATGTTTTGGGGTCGAGGAAAGAATACTAAGGTAGGTAACCTAAGGTCCTAAGGTAAGGTAGGTACTTACTGTACAGCAGAAAGCGGAGATTCTCTCTGTGACGGGCGAACACGAGGATGAGGATCCAGACGGAAGGGAAAAAGTGGCTGGAGAGGGGGAAAGTTACGTATTTGGGTTACGGTATGGACGCTGGGGCTCTTCACTTGCTGGGTCTGGATTCAGTGTCGAAATACCGGATCTCTAGTATATCCGGGGGATATCCATGTAAGGTACTGTCAGGAGGTTCATGCCTAAGGCCAATTCCTATCGCCGAGGATTGGGATTGTCTTGCTTTCAGTGGTTTTGCCAGAGGTTTCTAGATTGCGGATCATTACTGGGAGAATGACTTTTCTGTATAGAGTTGCGACTCTTTTTTGATAATTCTCACAATTTGGAGGAGGAATGAAAAGAGTGAGTTCTGCCTAGAGAAGACAAAGCACAGCCATGTTCTAGAGCCGCGTATCTACACAGGTCTCCACTGGTAGTTCCGTAGGAACTCGACGGGAACATCGAGAATGACATCAATGTCAAATCATATTTTGCATGTATGTGTACTGGGTAGAGGGATATGTATCTTTCTCTGTCTGTCAGTGACACTGGGCCAGAATCTATATGAGCTCAATTTCCAGAGCATGAGGCTGAGTCCGTCCCTGCCTGCCTTAGCTTAGGCCATCGGGCAGTGTGGCTGGCGAACCAATGTGATTCTGCAAAGGACAAGTCAAACCTGATTTGATCAATTGATTATCATTCTCCTTTCTAGAACGCAGTGGGGCATCCCTTGAGGTGGCTGTACATGTGTACATGTACATTGTCCACTGTCCAGCGGGAAAGTAAGGTAAGCCTGTTGGAATATGACCGATGGACAGTTTGATTGGTGATGAGTTTTTCCCTCAGAGGCCACCTGGGCAACAGTAAGGTATCTTCATACTTTCGGACTTAGGTGGCATCTGTCTAGGTGATAGGCCTCAGTGGCTCCTCCTCAGTTGTCTCTACTGGATGTATCAAGATTTATCAAATAGAAGCTCTGGTAGAACATTACCTAGATGATTACCTAGACAGCGCCCCAGGTTCGATCCACCTTCCAAATAACGTAATCGGTAAGCGAGCGGATCACGCAACCGAGCGGATCACCCAACCATATTATATCGAAAAGGAAGGCTATTTTCAACCCCTAAAATAACTTTGCATTACTAAAACTAGCTATTCTTGCGC